ATACTTAGATGGATTATCATTTATAGTTGCTAAACGAAAAAAATGACACATTATCAAGTTTTTCTCTTGTTACTTATATTTTCTCTCTTCTAGAATATTAACATTCAAACATATAGTAAAACATGTCCTTCACTAATCAGAATTCTCTAAAACATTTATCGGACATTTTTCATCTTAATATTCTTTTTTTCGACATTTTTCCTTTCGATATTTTTCCCTTTCGATATTTTTCCTTTCGATATTTTTCCCTTCGACATTTTTCCTCTTCGACATTTTTCCCCTTCGTCTTTTCGACATTATTCCTTTCGACATTTTTCCTTTCGACATTTGGACGGCCAACCCTTCAATCCACTTCTTGAATGTCTTTTGATATTCTTGAATAGGTATTGAACTGAACTCTTTGGATAACGCATTAGCTAAGTTTGTAGCATTTGGATATGTACCAAGGCTACGCTTCAGACAATTGAACAACCAAAAGTCTGAAGAAGCAAGGTCAGGTGAATATAGTGGATGAGCCGTAACTTCGATTTTCTTCTTCAAGATAATCAAGATAATATCGATATCTGGCGCACATGGTTTTGCATTGTCAAAAAAATGCAAATTTAATGCCATGTTTTTGATGATGTTTTTTCTTATGTAAATTTTTGACGAATCTTTTTAGACATTCATCGCAATAATACATGCAATAAACATGTATGAGGTAGTAGTAATATAATCAATACTAATATGTGGATCCTCATTCACTAGGCCTGAACCACATCAATATTTTGTTGAGTAATTATGGATAACGAACGACCATTTCGAGGATCATCGTCTAACGACTCCCGTACACTTGAAATTCGATCCACCCAATGAACAACTGTGCTATATGAAACAACACCTTGTCCATAAGCAGCAGTTAATGTATCATGAATTGGTGTAGCAGTTAAACCTAATAAACAACGAGTTTTTATATCTGAGCGAATACAAAGTTTATCCGTCTGAAAACAGAGATGTTGAAAAATGGATTAGGTATTTTAACACATAACAGATGTCACTACTAAAATAGGCCAACATCAGGAATAAACCCAGGCAAGCAAAAAATAAGGCAGGACGCCCGACATGACTAGTCAAAAATGTCTGCACTACCGTCTGGTCTAGTCTAAAATGTCCATGCTACTGTCTGGTCTAGTCTGAAATGACTTGCAGCCCGTCAGGACTGATTGCTTTGACGAGCAACGTCTTCCAACCTAATATAGACTAGTCCGAAACATGTTCTCACCCTGTCATGACTAGTTCATTTTGTATGCTCATACTGTCCAGACTCGTCAGCGTAACGGCAAAAGTTAGAAGAAAAGGAGATGATAGGTGGATTCGAACATTCAATCAGACAATATTAGATATCTGACTAGTCTAGACTGTTTTCAATAGTAATGCGGACTAGTATGAAGAGTCATCTGCATTGGTCATGACTAGTTCTTTTTAAGAAACTACTATCGACGGCAAAATACGATGAACGTGAGTATTTTTT